TGCCCCTGGTTATTCAGTGCAATCCCAAACGTCAATGGAGTTATACTGGTACAATAGAGTTTAAACATTTTCAGAGATTCTGAAAGACGATGTAAGGATTTTCCTTACCCTGTTACTGCACTGCTAAATGGTTTATTGGAGCAGCCTTTTTACTAAAGCCTAAAACAGTCTTACTGCACACTCTTCTCCTTCTGAGTTATCTTCCAACTTGGACCTGTACTGCCCTTAACATGTGGCACTAGCTGTCAGCTTGTTAGCAGCTCTACTTTTTGTGTCGTGCAAAGTGAGGACTGGATTCTGGGATGGATGTTCAAAATGTGAAGCCCTTGAGCAGTTTTCAGGATAGCTGGCAAGCCTGCTCCACCAAGATAAGGGTTTGCCTCTTTCCTCGAATGGGAGGATAGTTGTACCACGAAACTTTATTTCTCTTTTTAAGTTGTCATTTGTTGACACTGAGTCCAGGCATTGCCCTTAGTGCTACTGAACTTTAAACTTTAACATTGGTCATTTAGTGGAAAGCTACAGTTAATTTTCAAAGTGGATTACAATGGCAACTTGCTTTTGGACAATATGCTTTCTTCTTTTTGTCCTCCTTGTCTTTCAGACGGAACAGACAGGTATGACATTTGTTTTGTTGTTCTTTTAATTTGGTTTTGTGTCAATCTTCCTAAAACATAAGAGAATACAAGATTATTATGTACCTGGTATTATTTTAAATTTGTAGTACAGGCTTTCATTGAAGCTGGTAGTTCTTCATTTTCAACCACATTTCTCTTGTTTTTCTGATGCACTTTAGCAGAAACCACAGTTCAATTACTGAAGCAAAAACCTTGTTGTATATCACAGTATGTCATTTTTTTAACATCAGCACAATACTTTCTCTCTACTCTGTACTTACCATCCATAAAAAGTGCCCATACATATGATAAAATGACTTCTTACTTGCTAATCATTGTTGTGATGAAAATGGAATTTATGGTAGGAGGCCAAAAGAGACTTTTGCATGATTTGCGTAGATGTACTTTTCTGCATTAATGCTCTAGAGCATTGCAGATGGGTGAGGAAAGGATGGGATAAGCAGGAAGAAGCTCTGCATTTAGGCTCACAGTGATAACAGTAATGATTTTCACCAAAGTTCCTCAATCCTGTACCACGATATGATTTTTAAAAGGTTCTTTAGCTCACCCAAAATCACGCTAATGATAAAAATGCACTATTAATGATTCAAGAAAAATATGACACGCACTTTTAAAAAAATATATTGTCACTAGATAGTTTTTTTTTTTTTATATAACAAATATGGCAAAAAAGTGATTTTTTTTTTAAACAGCATCAATAGCGCTAGAACTAGTCTGCTCCCTGGCACTTTTTTTTTTAAGGTTTAACTAAGAAATCACATACTATTTCACAATATTTTTCTATTACAAAGTAGAGCCCCCATTTCCTTGATCCCTCATCACAGCCACATGGTTCTAGTCTCCTCCACCCAAGAAGCTGGTCTTTTTTCCTTCTGTCCATTGTAACTTGTATTTGATTTCCCTAAACACATAGATTAAAAACCAGATGTGGTCATCTTTATTCAGCCAAGACTCCCGGGAGAGTCAGTCCAAGTAAGGAGTGGAGGAATGGGTTCTGAAATAATAACTGAGGCACAAGTCACTCCCTCCACCTCTGCAGAAGGATTTAAAAATCCCTTGGATCTTCTCCAAAGGACTCTAATGTCCAGAGTGTTGCCTCTATGGTAACATTTCTCCTCCCCAACCCAGGTCCTGCAGAAGCCCCTTTCACAGGTTTGTGAATTGTTTTGGAGGGGTGGCATGAAGTCAGGGTGGGAAAGGGTAGTTCTAGCCACACATGCCTAATTCTCCCTCCACGACAAATTCTCCAAGCAACTACATACTGAATCAACACGAGCTTGGCAGTTCATAACCTCAGCACTAGTGGGCTTGTTGCATCAGTTATGAAAGTATAAAAAATTCCAGCACCTCTCTCATTATAAATTAAGCAGTGGCCAAAACTCCATGACTTTCCAGCCCAGTCTGGGTTTAAAGACAAGTGTTAATGTAAAAGTTGAACTGGCCAATATGCAGGCATGGTGTGAAAGGACCCACCACCCCATCTTTCCTCAAGTAAGCATGCTCCGACCAGCCAGGGGAAGGCCTGAGCAGTGCCCTGCCCCAGCCTCTCTCCTCCATGCTCTGGCCAGCCAGGCCTATTTCCCTGCTTACTTGGGGGACCAGGGAGGTGCATTCACACCCTTGCTTTCCCCATTTACAAAAAAAGCCCCCCCCCAGAAATTCCTGTATACGGGCCTGTGAACTTATACAACAGTGGTCCCCAACCATTTGAGGTTGTTGGGCGCCAGGGGGCATGGCCGTTCGCCCGCCGGGCGCCA